GAACAGACCTAGAAGCTAATAGATTAAGTTAAAATTCAGTTATAACATGATTTGATTCTGTCCTCACTAGCTAACCAAGCTCTTATCATTTTATTTTCTTCTCCTGTGCTAATTTTTTTGTAGTTTTGATTAATCTGTATTGAATTAAAAGAATAAAACTTTCCAAAGAGAAACATGTTTTTTATTCAGTAACAAGTCTAGGACCCAGGGCAGATTTTAACTTTTTTCCTGCATTTTAAATTTATCTTTTTCCCAAAAATGTGTCTATAAGAATCTTGTGGAGAACTCAGTGTCCCATGAGCTATGAAATGGAGTATGTTTAAACAAGACCGATCAGGCATTGTACCAGCGGAGCATTGACTGGACCCAGCCACCTGGGCCTAGGGTTTCCTCAGTCTGAGCCTAAAGATCAAATCAGTGAAAAATCAGTGCGAGGAGAAGGAAAAAAGATGGCATAGGAGATTAGTTGGACACCTCATTCTGCCCTGAAAATAGTACTGTCCTTATCTTCCCTCCACAGCTCTACCTCTTCTTTAAGGGACTGTTTTCATTTGCACAACGGAGTTAAAAGTCATTATTATACCTAGTATTTAACAAGGGCTGTCTCTACTGCTTTCCCAGAATTGAGGAACAGTGTTTTTACCTGAAATCTTGTCTAACATCTCTCTCAAGTATATAGTTAGTCCAATAAACTGTATTACTAAACAAATCTTGCTATCAAAGGAATCTCTGATTAATTTTTCTGAGGCTGAGCAGAAATGGAAGGGGGAGGAATTAAGTCATGCATTCCAAGAAAAGAGGGACTCATTGCTTTGACTCCTTTGCCCTCACCAATTCCCTACCAAGAATAGTTATTAGGAAGAAAAACTCTTAACAGGCTGAAAACAGGTGACAAATGTATTTGCCCAGATGCATACAGATCAGGGACTTTTTGGCAAACCATACAAGGAAGGGCTGAGGGACCTGAGCTTCTTTAGCCTAAAGAAGAGAAGGTTGAGAGGGGACTTGATAGTGACTTACTACTATATCACAGGAGTGCATCAGGAGCTTGGTGAACAACTGTTCATTTTGGCACCCCCGGGGAAGACCAGGACCAATGGATACAAACTCCTGGAAGGCTGCTTCAGGCTTAATACCAGGAAAAACTCCTTCACAGTCAAGGTGCCCAGCCTTTGGAATAAACTCCCTCCAGAGGTGGTGCGGGCAGCTGCTCTGGAGGTTTTCAGGAGGGAACTAGAGAGTCACCTTGCTGGGGTCACCTAACCCCAGTTGTCTTTCTGTCTAGAGTGGGGGGGGCTGGACCTGATGATCTGTGAGATCCCTTCCAGCCCTTAGAAATCTATGAATACAGAAACTTCCAGTACACCATGATGTTGCTTCCTGGATAATTGTCATTAAACCATTTTTATTAAATAAAATACAAACGTATGAAATTTGCTGTTTTGTTACAAAAGAAATAGAATATGTAACACTTCCATGGAGAGAAGAACCTGGATTTTAAGTTTTTTTGTGATATAATGATTTTCACTTCAAAACTAAACATGGAACTGTTTAAATACCCATGGAACTAATGTTTTAAAAGTATTGATACGATGATTTTTTCTGGTTTAGCATTGCATTACTGCAAATAAAAAGTAACCAGTGCAAACAAATGACCTTGCAAATTTCCTCTTGTATCAACACCTCATGATGTTTCTTCTTTAGAAGCTCTAGAATGAATACACTTTAAAGATCTCCTACTCCATTCTTCACTACAATATACATTTAAAAAAATTCAAGTTTTTCCAAAGCTAGCTGTTCATATATAGAAATCATATTTCTTTAATGGGTTTCTTAATACATTATATTGGCTGCAACATGCAAGAATTAGAATAATCAATACTGAGCATCCAAGTGCATACGTTTCACATATTTCCTAGACCATCACAGCTACAATCTCTCTCCAACACCACTGCAAGAACAAAAGCATTCTTGATCCTACTCTCTTACCTCTGGAAGCCAGAGCAGCAGGGTCTGCACAGAGAAAGCTTCATTGCCTTACTTCAGGGACTCAGCCCTGAGGTAGGTGACAAAACAACTGCAACCTATTGCAAGATGTATAATGATGCACATAGTTACATTACAAATTAAAAACATATCAGGGGATTTAAAAAAGCACAGCTATAATGGTTTAATGTCACTGGAAGACAATGAATCACGATGGGCTTGTCTCCTCTGAATTAGTAGCTTGAGTTATCTGTACTCATATTAATTCTGTACTCATATTAATTCTCATATTAATTCTTCACAAGTTAGCAAGTCAGCACTTCATGAGTGACAGTCCGTTTCTGAAGAGCTTTTGAATTAGCAGCTTAGAGTAATCAAGACGCCCTTCATTACTACATGACCTGATTCACAGCCTGTGGTTAAAAAATTCCTAGACCTTAAAAGCTGGAGGCTAAGTGGGAGAGGAACAGGGGGGAAAAGTCATACCTTGCTGACTCCCTTTCAGCATTCACTATCTGCCACTGTGTGATACAGGATACTGGGCAAGACGGAGCTATGGTATGACCCAGTGAATGGCTGTTCTTATGTTCAATATAGCTGGAGTTTTAGGTACAACTTATCTTGAGCAGAATGGTTGTGTGTGTGTACAGTAGACCGGTTAAGGCCAGTAGTTGAGTTGCATCTTGAGCTAATACTGCAGAGAAGGCAAGCCAAATAACAAATTAAATTAATAGTCACTAGCATTAGTGTAGTACACTGTAACTCCATCCTGAATGGGGATGAGCAATGTAAACAACAAAGAGTGTTTAAATGGGTAGGTGGGGGTACAAGGATTTTGGGAAGATTTCTGAACTATTTTCTTCTGTTCAAACCATAAACATTTTTGGCATCACTCATTGACCACTACTGATAACATCTTTTCCCCCCAAAATTAAAATCCTTAGGGTAGAACAAACACTATATGCTACTATGAACGAATTGAGGTAAAAAGCAAACATTTGTGAATCATAAACAAACTTAGACATAATACTATAATTATTTAATAATCTTTTTATATAGCAGCAGGATGAGAAATGACTTCACAAAGAGACTGATTCCAATTTTCAGAGTTACTCTCTTGCTAAATACAATGCTTTTGATTCATTGTGTGAAAATCAGGTTTTGGGTTATCCAAAAATTAGCAGGAATTTCTGTTCTCAGAAATAAAGAAATTAAGTGAGTTGACAGATATTCCTTTCTTCACTGCCCTTCCGCTTGTCCTTCCTTTTAGCTACTTGCTCTTTGGTATATAAATTACTTCAGACAATGTAATATGCTAACTTGAGATACAAATATTACACAGGATAACGGGAGGTTTTTACCCTCTGAAAGTACACAGAGGCAACATGCATGGTATTAATAGTTTGTTCAGGTTTCTTCCTTGTGCATTGAGGAAAACAGGTTTTGCTCTTCATCTGTTTTTGTTGCTCTTTGAAAAACATGGATTTTGACTGTGATTGTTTTGGATCAGCCATCTTTGATACCAAGCCAGTCAGAATCAAATTGACAATTTTTTTTTAAATTTTAATAAAATGACTGATATGTTAATAATAGATACTCACTTTGCTGATTATATGTATTTAATTCAGTCTCTTAAACCATAGAATATAGTGTGTGCTTACACAGTTGGTGATAAATTCATATTCTGTGCATATGTAGCATATTGAGATGGAGAAAAGAATAAAGTCCAAGGTAGGTTCACATATTTTCTGTCATCCTATGTAGATCAAGATGCCAATGCTTATGCATGAATTATATTTTTTCATTAGAAAATTACTGCTTGCAGTCAAATTGGAACATGTTTTATGGAAATACTGCATGTAAATAAATAAACATAAAATCTCTGCTAATTCTTGTATCATAACATTGTGAATTTTCTCCTGGTTTCATGTTTTCACATAAATATACTTCATGATTATTTTTATTATTTTTTAGATTTCCACATGGAAGAGGCGGTAGACTGGCCTGGAATAAACATTAAACTAGGCCAGGTTTCTGGACTGGCCCTGGACCCTGAATATAACCTAGTTATCTTCCATAGGGGTGATCATGTATGGGATGAAAAGTAAGTGGATAATTATCTTATGCTGTGTGCTGAATGTATTTTCTTTTAGACAGGGTATTGACTCTGATTATGGGGGTGGCCAAACATTGGACAAAGCTACCTAGAAAAGTTGTGGAATCTCCATCCCTGGAAATTTTGAAAAGCAGGTTACATGGATATTTGTCAGGGATCCTACCTTGAGTAGAGGGGTGGACTAGGTGACTTCAGCAGCCCTATTTTTGTATGATCATAAAGAATTTAGCCACTTTTTGTTTTTAGAGGCTAAAGCAAATTGACCTAGGCTTAGATTTGCTTGCAGAGGAGGAGGTAGCTGGTTAATAGCAGATATGAGACTCTGAAATTACTAGATTTTTACAATAAAACAAAATTAGTGCATAACATGGTACTTTCTGTAAACAAATTTTGATCTTCTAATTTGATAAAATGTAAATATCTTTCAATATTGTCCCATAAAACTTCAAACTCTTACAATTACCACTTTTGCACTATTTAGTGTTTGAGAGGGAGAGAGAATGAAGTTCCAAAATAAGAACTTTTTATAGAGAGAGATTTCCATCTGATATGTTGTAACAAGTACTTTTCCTTCAAGTGATTGTCCAAATACACATTCTCACTAGTAGGTGGGTCTCATCCTGAATTTTGACTGGAGACATTTTTGCCATAGCAGTACCTTAAGTGTGATCTCATTCTCTAGCCCTGCCCCTATACCAAGGAGAAAGAAGGTAGTGTACCCTTGGCCTCTGTAGTTGAGAGGAAACTCAGAAGCAGGAAATGCATACTGTCCTTTATCCACCTGGCTGTGGGGGCATGCGAAGGGGTGGGACTAGAGCATACCCTCCAGGTACTGCTGAGGCTAAAAAAAAGTCTTCAGCTGAAACTCAGGATGAGAGAGAAACTCCTTAGTAAGAGTGTGCATGTGGACAATACATCTCGGCATGTATTCAGTTACTGGCTTGTTAATACATTGACTGGGGTTTTCAAAAGCACCTAAGTGGTTTTGACTTTCAATTGGACTAGCATTGATTAATTATTTATGTTCTTTTTGAATATTCTACCCTTCTTCCTTAGCACCAAACTCTTATCTTTTGCTGAGCATGCGTGAATTAAATTGATTTTGGCCTCATTGTCTACCTTAGAGCAGAATTTTATCTGTAGGGGGTTATACTAAAACTGATACTGGTGCATAAACTAAATTCTTGCAAATATTAGGGGGAGTAATTAGTCAGTAATGAGTCAGGTAACTTTAAAAGACTAAATTGGGAAGACATTGTTGCATTCTTACTTCAAAAAGATATTGTCAAACAGCATAGAAGGACCATGTGCTGGTGTACTGTCTTGATTTTGTCTTCTATTTTTATTTTACTTTTGAAAGCTATTGGCATAAACTCTAAAGCAATCAGGGAGCAGAAAGGAAATGCAGTACATCTATAAAATATGGTTTATTGAACATATCTTACAAAGGATCTGTTTTCCATGCACATAAACATGATGGTTAAGAGTATCTGTTTCATCTGTTGGGAATTTTAGTTCATCACAACAGTCTCTAAAAGGTTGTATTTTATAGATTATTTTACAGGCAACAATGCTTGAAACAGCTGTTCCCTGTCCTCTGCACAAAAAGAGCAATCTTTTTGTATATTTTTTTATGAAAACCAGTATGTTTTAACCAGATAACCTGATGGATAAAAAGGAAATTGTAAACTTCTTGTATTATTTCAAAGTGATCTTTCTGTCTTAACCAACCATGTTTATCTATAGACCATTTTATTTGAAAAAGTGGTACATGCTATAGGTTGTGTTGTTCAGGCTCCCACTGAGAGCTTTTATTGATCTGAGTATTTTTATTTCTCCTCCCACACATGGATAAAATCCTATTCTTTGTGTCACTGAAGAAAGAATTGAATCAAAAACATTTCAGAATAGACCGACAGATTTGGTATTGGTGTGACTCACTTCTTCATTTCACTTCCAAAACTTGTGGTTTGAAAATCTGCCAATTATGATACATCCACCCAGAGTCCAAAGACACAACAGCAGCTAAGGTTAAGAGCATCTGGTATAACGACAGATCAGTTGTCAAATGCCTTCCTAACATTTGAAGACATGGTTTTGTGGATAAATAATTGTCAGTGTAGGCAGCATACACTTGATTATATTTGCTCTTCCCCATTTAAGTGGGAATGTGAAAGGAAATGGGCAGAGTAAAGAGATGTGATTACTAAACATGGTCGAGAAAAGTATAGTTTAAAAAAGAACCCCAAAGTAAGTGATAGCACAAGCTTTTCAATACATCTTTTTTGTTAGGAAAAGAAGGTATCTTTTTTCACACAGCACATTCTGCTGTGAAGACCATTCAGTCTCAGAACCACAGTACAGGTTTAAAAGAGTGGTAGCTATATTCATTACTCGTGGTAGAGGTGATATCTTTTATTAGAGAAACTAGATTTTTGCAAAAACATTTTTTCTTTAATTGCAAGCTTTCGGGCACAAACACACTTCATCAAGCATAGGAGAAAAGATTGTAAAAGTTCTCTTAGGTAGAAATCAAAGTTCATTTTTCATAGGAGAGTTAAAGGTGTGGTAAAATCTGTTTAGAACAGTTCATTTTATGTAGGTTAGGCTCAGAGAAAAGTTGGAATAGCCTGTTTACCTTGAAGTTGTTTGGTGGCAAGCAGGATGTAGTCATACTTCCTTCTGGCTATGGTGTTTCATATTTCACAGAAGAGTAAAAAGATGGAATGCTCTTCTGGGCAGGAATTTCTTATGTAGTGAGGTAACTTTGAGCTCTGTGATGATGCACATTACCTTGAATAAAAGCAGGTGCAGGGCCTCAGTTTTCAGGTGGTAAAGCTTGCTCCCTTCTTGTAAAATTATGAAAATTTCATTTAAAAAAACAGCTAAAATTTGATATCTTCCATGTGTCAGATATCCAGGTTGTAGCCATATTGGGCTAGAGGTAAAAGGAATCAGAGGTGATAGATTCTATTAGACCAACTGGATTTTTGCAAAAAAAAACTTTAAAAAAATAATTCTTTAATTTCAAGCTTTTTTAATTTCTTTAGTTGCAACCTTTAACTCTCCTATGAAATATGAACTTTCATTTCTACCTAGGAGAACTTTTACAATCTTTTCTCCTATGCCTGATGAAGGGGGTTTGTGCCTGAAAGCTTGCAATTAAAGGAAAAAATGTTTTTGCAGAAATCTAGTTGGTCTAAAAAAAGCTATCACCTCTACCATGAGTTTTGATTCCTTTTGCCTCTAGACCAATACGGCTACAACCTGGATACCTGACACATGGTAGTTATATACAGAAACTTGATGTTGGTTATATGTCCTCCATTGTGAGTCCTGGCAGATGTTACATGTATGGTACGATTAATGTGTTAATCACACCACGAATTGCAGCATGCCACATGTTCAGCCAGTTTATGGTGCCATAAATGTCATTGCTGCCGGTTTGTAGGGGACCTTAATTGAATAGGTAGCATGTCTCTCCAGACCAGGGGCTGACTCAGTAGATGCCAACAATCAGCTGATTGTTAGCATCAGCCCAGAACAGTAATGTCTTTAAATGCATTCAAAGCTAGATTCAAACTGGCTCCATTGGTGTCTGCCCTTAGGCATCGAAAGGCCTAAAACTTGGGCACTTCCCTAGTGAATAGGCATCCAACAATGATGTCACATGAAATACAGAATACTTAACACCTAGTCCCACTTCTGACAATAGGTACATAATCGAGATGGTGCTGCAAGCCCTTTGCTCGGTATTTTAATGGTTAGAGCAATTTACCTGGGTTTTAAGTCTGTTTACTCTGAGGAGATTTAAATCTAGATCAGTGATTTTTCCAATGGTGCCCGAATGACCAGGCTATAGGATAAGCCGGTAAAACATTTCCTCTCCTCTTGCTGAAGTTGGGCACCCAATGGTGTTAGAAGGATAGCAGGGAAGAGGGAGCATGCTTCTGCAGTCTAGTGGGTAGGGAAGTCTGGTAGGTGAGGGTAGTCCTGGTGTTCAGTTTGCTGTGGTTTGCTCTCTTTATTATAAAGTGCAATAAGGATGGAAACAGATGTTGCCCTTGGACCGCCATAAAAATTGTTATGACAGCACAAGGTATGAGCAAACAGATGTCCAAGCTGTTGTCGTGCTCCAGATGCCCAAAAATATTGATGCAACCAAATAGTCACAATTTGACACTTTAAATGAGAGTACCACTGTTTGCTTATGGTGTGCCACAAGAATTCCTCTGAAGGGAGATTCCTCTGAATCTACCACATTATATAATCAGCCTCTAATGTCATAAGAAACTTGCATGTTGGACTTCAGTGTTCTCTACACTGGGCTTCTTGAGCTTGGAGCACCTAGGTACTTATTTGTTGCCTAGTACCTAGGTGCCCAGTTTGGAGCACCTAGGTACTTATTTGTTGCCTTAAATTCTATTGCAAATAATATTAGTACTGGGAGACAGCTAAACTCTAAGTTCTTAGAGAAGCACTGAATCCTAAGCATGCTCCAAGTATGTGTAAGGAGAGCCATCCCAAAATGGATGGGGGCTATGTATACCTTTTGCCCAACTGCAGTTCCAGTACCTGCTGTCAGGGTTCTTACGGTATAATAAGTCATCATCTTTGAGTCCTGGAACAGCTGATCCACTTCATTGGCAAAGCCCTGCCTCTCCTGGGGCTTCAGGGGTGTAATCCTGCAGCACAATAGCTACAAGCTGTTGAGGTTAGTATCATTGGGGTTTCCCCCATTTGCAGACACATGCCCTGGATTGGGGCACAGCAGTGAGAATTCACAGGGGTTGCTTGCAGCTGTGCATCCCAGGTATCTATGGTGCCTATGGTACCAAATTAAATTTGGCCTTCAGTTTTTAGAAAACCTGTGGGATGTGGAATGGGGAAACTAAAATTCAACCACCACTACAACCCAGAACTAGAGAAGCTTTTTACATACCCACTTCTAGAGCTTCAAGAGCTGATGGGCTGCCCATTTCTATAGTATGGGGGATGGTTGGATTCTCTCGCTTGTTTTTCCTGTGGCCAGTTTGATTTCACTGCTTTCTTCCACATGTTGTGACATGGAAAAAGATACAGGTCAGTCTGTGAACACTTTGTCCTATGATTCTTCGTCTTCCCCTTCAGCCCCACTATGTAGACCAGGAGTGGACAATTATTTGGGCCTGCGGGTGACATAAACAGTTGTGTTAAAGTGTCACAGGCCAGGGGAGCACTGCTCCCCTCCACACAACAACTCCCCAAAACTCCGTATGTGGGATGGGGCCACAGGTGGGCTAGGAGTGGTGTTCAGGAGCAGGAGGGGCAGGCAAAGGTAGGGTTGCAAGGTGGTTACAGCGCAGGGCCACAATCTGCTGCCTACACGTCCCTGTGACAGGTGCGGGTTCCATGGGCAGGGGCATGCAGGGAACAGATTGCAGCTCGGCCACGGCTTGGCCCCACGCTGTGGCCCCTCCCCAAGTTCCTGGAGTCTCCGTAGAGACTGGCTGGGAGCTGTGTGGGCAGGGTGCCCCAATTGTGTCTACCCAGAGGAGTGTACTGCCCATGTGGTGCTTTGCCAGTTTCCGTGAAGACCACGGGATCTTGGGACAGTGACAGTATGGAGCCAAGGCCATGGCAGAGCCCCAGTTCTGCAGGATTTGTACCAGTGCATTGTGGCTCTGCCTTGGCCTTGAACTGCCACCACACCAAGATCCTGGGGTTTCCCTGGCCCCTCCTAACCATTCTGCTCCCAAACACTGCTCCCTGACAGCCCGCAGCCCCATTCCAGCCATCTGGCTGATCTCCCTGCCTGCACAGATCCTGCCTCTGGCAGTGGGTGTGGGGCAGATGGGCTGGAGTGCCCGGGCAGCAGGGTGGGTCTGGTGGCAAAGGCAGCCAGAAGAAGCCACCATTGCTGCCTGGGCTTCTGGGAAATGGAGTTTGGCAGCTGTGCTGCCCCAGCCCGGTTGTGTGCCTGGGCAAGCACTGCGGCTTGGGCTGCCCCTGCACCTGGGCTGGGTAGGAACCCTCCATGGGCTGGATCCAGCCCATGGACAGTATTTTGCCCATCCCTGAAGTAGACAGATAGTGGAGAGTGCCTTTTACAGACTTTCATCACTAAGATCACTGTGTTAGGAGGTAGTGGAGATATAAATATCTTTAAATTTTTAATCAGTCCAACAATGGAAATTTGTTTGGATTTCTTTCCTGTTTCACTGTTCTTGGTTGCAGCAAAGTAAAACTGATATTAGCCTTACCTAAGCTAATATGTATAGATGGAAGCTAATATGATTAGATAGAAATATGCAAAGTCAGTAATTGAATTTACCATCCTCCAAAAAACCGTAAATTTTGATGAATTCTGGGACTTGGTCATTTCAGGGGGGGGGTTCCAAATGAGTGCTCTACTGTAAAAAGAACCAATGCACAAAATGTCTTCATGTTTTATTAATATATGCCATAAAAAAGTAGGATTCTTATACAACGCAATGCAACTTAGTGAAAGGTCTGTGCTGCTTATAATGCAAGCCCAGTCTGCTTTAGAACATTAAACCTAGGCAGCTTAATGTAGTTCTACAGTGCAAACACTGTAACTTAGTTTCAGTTTATGAATTGCTCCCATGTTCCTTCTGCTGCGAATAAGATAACTTTTAGTATTTTTTTTCCATCAAAGGATCAAATTCCTGTTAGTGCTCCTCTGTACAGTTATTATAAAGAGCTTTTTTCTGTTGTATGAAGTACTTGCTATTCAAAGTGAAACTGTTAGAAGTAGTCATTGAAGCACATAACAGAGTAGATAAATGTCCTAGGATCTGCCACTTTGCCCATCATTGTTCAGAAGAGCAGGAAGGAATTATTTATATGTTTCAAAAAATAAAACCTATATGATGGTAATATGAATCACATGATGCATATTTTAATGTCAGGAGAATATAATCTTAAAGGTTTTCTATTTGTGGTTTGTCATAAACTTAATAAACAAATTAACTAAGTAATCAATGGAAATGGAACAAACTTAAGTAGTCTATCACTTACCCAAATCAAAAATTCTAAGTCTATAAAATATTTAATGTTATAAAGCAGTTGTGCTGCTACTACTGTATTGTATAAAGTATTTCTAGCTTTATTCACAGCCATGTCTTTTTCTGTAAAGCATGTCCGTATTTACCAACATTCCTTGATCATAATTGGATTGATCTCAAAGACACTAAAGCGTCTTTAAAAAAAAAAAAAAAAAAAAAGCAAAAAAAAAAAAAAAGCAAAAAAAAAAAAAAAGGAAGAAAATGGGAGAATTCAAGTGTATCATGTGTTCAGACATTTTAGTTGAAAATGAAATTACATTTTCTGCACTTAATTAAAGTTTTGTTTGAAAGACTTCTGCTTACATGCATTTCGTTAGTGTCTGGTTTCCTTTGAATGCCAAGCACTTATTATAAAAAGTTGGAATGTGTGGCAGGGACGCCACCACAAACCAAGACTTACCTTGTGGCCAGGAGCAAAGAGAGGCACGAAGCCGATGAGACATCGCTGAGGATCAAAGGTGCGGAGGGAGAGAGGCTGCCTCAGGACGACGAGTTGCACCGAGACCAGAGGGAGAAAAACTGAAGTGGCTACACACTTTATGGCGGCGTGCTGACCCTGGTTCGCTGGCCGGCCCTTGGAGTGGGGAGTAAAAACCCTACCAGCCAGTATTCAGGGAGGACCAGAAGTGGGTCCTTCAGAAGTCCCAGAGCATCTGGAATCATATAACTGCCCTGACAGGGGCAAGTGGTGGCAACCCCAGGAGGAGGAATGCCCGAACAAAGCTGGCTTGGCAGAGCCTGAACTCTTACCTGGGACAAGACCATGGATACTGGATGCAGCCAATGTGGAGTGGAACAGTGGTGAGCCTGGGAAGAGAGAGAAAGAGGAAAAAAACAGTCAGATGCTATGAGTCAATACTGGGAACAAAGGGAGCACACCTGGGAGTAAGGTATCCAGGGGCAAATAGGAGGACAAACCAGGTTGATGTAAGGCCTGAAACAGGATGGTATGCTGTCCAAACTGGACTGTGACTATATAAGGGCTAAGGCCCTTACTGTGGTGAGCAGACTTTGTCTCAGCTGTGGCCAAGGAGCAACATCTCTGGTTGGCACAAGGCGGGGTGTAGGGGAGGCGGAGCCCCGAAACAGGAGTCCAGGCTACAGTGCTGAAGGAGGGAGGCAGGGGAGGCAGGATTTAAAAACATCTTCGCAACAATAACCAGTACCAACAAGACATGGCAGGAAAGAATCCCTGGGGACCTTTCAAGGTATCTGACTGGAAGACAGGCTGTTGACCCAAAAGGAGACAGCTGCACTCAAATGACCAGAAAGGGTGAAGTGTGCTAGTGAACGTCATAGGAGGTTACAAAATAATACAAGGGCTACTTCAGAATATGTAGAGAAACTGCTAAAGTAATTTTTGCCCTTGGTTAAGCATATGCAAGTGTATTAATTCAATAAATCTTAGTTTTCAAAATCCTGAGTTTCAACTTGATAGTAGAATTAAATTGTTTTCAAATGCATTTTGTATGCATTTACAGTGGTGTGTGGTTTAGTGGTGGAGAGATAAGGACATGTATGTCATACTTTTCTGCCCAACATTTGCTGAAAAGCAATGTAAAATATAGGCTTAAGTACTGGATAAATAAATAGAAACTTTTATGAGATTTATGTAGTTTTGTTTTTTTAACAATTCAGGTTTAAAACAGTTTCTTAGCTACCCTCTGCTTGTTTGTTCAAAGAAGCGAATAACTGAATATCCTTCACCCTTAGAGTCATTGCCCTTAAGGAAGTCCATTTAATTGATAACCTGTCCTCTCTCCTGGGAAGGGGCAGGCTGTTAATTGGCAGTTGGCAGCTGTTGAAAAGCAGAAACTGTCACAGACAGTCCAGCACAGGGTCCAGCCCTAGGAGAAGGCCCTTCACATCCTGCCAATCAGAATTGGCAGTATGGGGGTCATTATCCTCTGGTGGGAATCTTCCTGCCTCCTGCTGCAAGAGAACAACCTCTGCTTTTTGCATTTCCCCTTCCCCCAACAGTCCTATAGAAACCCTGTGGTCTTTCATAGGAGTGTTGGGGAATGAGGGGCATACTCCTGCAGCAGAAACCCATGTTGGGAGGGTTCCTTCCATAGGAGAGTGCCCTCCATCTGCCAGTGAGGTGATTGGCAGAGGTAGGGTACAGATTTTTCAGGGCAGGGTCCCTGTAGAACTCTCTGATAGCTCACCCGGGTGGCTGAGAGGAAGCCAGTCCTTTCATTCCCTTCCTGTCCCTGGGAGGCAGAGAAGAGGACTGTGGGATATTGGGTGTTCTCCATACCTGAGAGAAGTATATAGTCATTCAACTTGGATTTGGAGAAAGAAGATCTTACTGGTAAGTGTCCAGTCTAACTCTTGGGAAGAACCAGTTTTCTTCCGCAACAAATCCCTTGAACAGCTGTACATTCTTGTTGTATCATGAGAGAGACTTTTCTCCCAGCATATAGGTAACAACTGGCATTCAAAATTATAAAAAATGTAGGTAGTGTAAGAGATATGCAAAACCAACATTTTCACTTTAATTGGAATACAAAACTGATTAATCATATGTAACTTTGCTTGTGAACTGAAATGTATAATGTATTCCTTTTGTCTTTTGATATATTTGCATAGCTCTTTTGACAGTAGATTTGTTTATCAACAAAGAGGACTTGGACCAATTGAACAGAATACAATTCTTGTAATAGACCCAAGTAATGCGGCAGTACTTCATTCTACAGGGAAAAATTTGTAAGTTTTATTTACTTTTATTGATATTTTTTGCATTTTCTTCCTGAGGAGTCTGAGCCCTTCTAATCTGCATTTTCAAAGGCTTGTGTCACATCCAGTCAATTTCTCAGTCAGATCATCTAAAAAAAATCAATAATTATTGCCAACAACCAGTAACTAACTAACGATGCCACTAAACTGTTACTGTCTAATAATCAACATCCTTTCATCTGTTGTCCCAAATAAACAAAAAAACAGGTAAAACAGGCTTATTTACTGCAGGGTACCCACAGGCTGCCAGTATTGGGCTCTTGTGGACATAAAGGTAGCAAACAAAGTCAAGAGCTAAAGGCCCTTCACCAGGAATGTTGTACTGTTCACTCCATAATATAAATTCTGGATAGTCAGCTAATAGCTGAAGTTTGGCATAGAGATATCTCTTATAGATTCAGGTCACTCAAATCTCTGTAGATCTGGAATGTGAATCTTTTTTGGCCTGCAGGCTGACTCCTGACCACATGGCTTTCTTAGGAACATAATAATATAGGAAATGCCATCCTGGGTCACACTGATGGTCCATCTAGCCCAGTATCCTGCATCTGACAGTGGGAGATGCTTTAGAGAGAGAGCATGAACAGACTGTATCTCAAGTGGTCTAACCTGCGTCTTACCCTCCCTAACATCCACCTTCATTGGTTTAGAGTTGCCAGAAGATGTGTGCCTGACTGCTCTGTTTAACAGTTTTTAATGGATCTGTTGTCCATGAATTTGTCTAGTCCTTTTTTGAACCTGGTTATACTTTTTAGGTCTGCAACCTCCTGTGGGCAGTGAGTAGAGCTGTGCAAAGCTTTGGTCACTGATTTGATTTGGCAGAGATGTGGCCTGATTCGGTGGCCGAATCTCTAGATCCAAATCAAATCAGGAGACCCTTTAATCTCTGAATCGATTCGGAGAGATTCAGAAAGATTTGATGATTCAGACATAGACACAGCTTTAAATGTTTTTTCTACAGACCTCAAGGTACCAGGCAGCTTGTGAATGCTGAGATGGTGGGGAGGATGGAGCGTCCCACAGGAGCATTGGAGCATTGGTCTTCAGTCCTCTTGGCAGCAGACCTGGAAGTGGACCAAAAGTAGTTCCAGTCCACTCCTGGGTCTACCGCGGAGCATGCTGAGCCCTTCCCCTCCCCCTTCATGCCTCCTGGGTCTCGGGGGGCACCTGGGGTCCCCTGCAGCCAATCGCCAAACCAGGGGAGTGGGGGGGGGGCCCAGCACGCGTGGCAGCGCCACTTCTGGGTTCACTGCCGAGCACGTGGGGGGCCCCTGCACTCCTGTGGGATGCTCCCTCTGTTCCAGCATCACAGCATTCACGAGCCACACCTGGTACCTCGAGGTATGTAGAAAAAACATTTAAAGCTGTGTCTATGGCCAAATTGCTGATTCTCCAAATCGGCACTGAATCTTCAGATTCGGATTCAGCTGAATCGAATTGGGGACAGTGATCTGAATCAAAGAATCAAATCAATGTCCCCCGATTCGGGCTGAATCTGAATCGAATACAGCCTGTTTTGCATAGCCCTGGTAGTGAGTTCCACAAGTTAACCATGCACTCTATAAAAAGTATTTTCTCTTGTTAGTTTTAAACCTGTTTCCTGCTTATTTCAGTGGTTACCCCGTGGTTTTAGTATTCTGGGACCTCTGTTGTATCCTCCCTGGTCCTTGTTTCCAGACTGAAGAGTCCTAGCCTTTTTAATCTCTTTAGATATGGCAGAAAAGATTTATGTTGCATGCTTCATATCCCTGATCATCTTGGTTGCCTGTCTCTGTAGTTTTTCTATTTCTTCTGCATCCTTTTTTAAATGTGGACCAAAACTGTACACAGTATTCAAGATGTGGGCAGACCATGGATTTATATAGTTGTATGATAGTTTTCCATTTTGTTTTCAATTCCATTCTTAATAATGCCTAACATTTTATTGGCTTTTTTGGTCACGGCTGTGCATTAAACTGATGCTTTTAGGGAACTTTCTGCAGTAACTCTAAGGTCTCTTTCCTGAATTGTGGCAGGTAGTTCAGAACGCACCAATAAGTATGCATAATTGAGGTTATTTTTTCCTATGTGCATTACCTTGCCCTTACTGCCACTGAGGTTCATCTGCTTTTTTTTGCCCAGTCACTTAGCTTTGTGAAATCTTTCTGCAGCTCCTTTTTATCAGCCTGGGATTTGCAGACGATACTAAATCATTCCAGATAGTCAAAGTTAGAGGTTTCACTGTGCGCTCCAGATTATCTATGAAAATTTTTAATAAAATCAGGTCCAGCACACAGATCTTTGTGGGATGCCATTTTTGACCTTCCTCCCTCCTGAAAACTGACTGTTTAACCCATGGGTTGGATCCAGACTCTAGGCATTTCCACAAGCCAAATGACCTGCCAGCAGCAGCGTTAATCCCCATGACTGCTGGAGCCACTGTTTCAGTATGACTCCAGAATTCAGGGAATTAATGCCACTGTCTTCCCTCCCCACCCTTTTCCTCTGTTGCTGATCTTAATTGCCAGGGGTGACAAAGACCCTATTTTGGTGGCAGGTGTGGGGAGGAAGGGGGGCAAGCCGTGTTAACTCCATGGGTTCAGCAGCTGTGCTGAAACAGCAGCTTCAGGAACTGTGGAAATAACCACCACCATCACAGGGGCTCTGACAGCCATGATAGTGCACCCCATGGGCCATATCCAGCCCACAGACATGGGTGATCCAGTCTGTGAGAAACCCCATGGGCCAGATAAGCCAGCTCAGTGGAGCTCATCCAGCCCGCATGCTGTATGTTTGACACCCCTAGTATAGATAATGAGCAAAATCTTCAGTTATTCTCGGAAGAAAATTAGGCACCAATGCAGAAAACAGATCTATGACATATCATAGCAGAACCATAGATCACCTCATATCTTTGATATAGTTCTTTTAAATTTGTTGCAGATTTTATTTACCACATGGCTTGAGTATAGACAAAGATGGTTACTACTGGGTCACAGATGTAGCTCTCCATCAGGTATGTGTATTGCTCTTCTAGAAATATTATAGTAACATTGTTATCTTAAAACTTTCGTGAATCTGTACATTTTACTTAAGATTACCAAGTTTTTCTGTGGCAGTTAGGATAAACACTAATGTCCACATGAACATGGATGTTTGTTTCCCTGGGGACAAGAAGCAGCAGCACACCTTGTGCTGCTGCTACTTGTCTATGGGGAACGCCTGCACCATGCATCCTCTGGTGGGCATTAGGTTACCCTGGGTGGTGTAGGGGAGGCTGGAGCCAGCATTGGGCTGGCCCCAGCAGCCTTACCTATGGTCCTGGGAGCCTCCTGGGGCTGCAGCAGTGGCGATCCTGACACATGGAGACTGGCTGGCAGGTGGAGCATGGCTCCGGCTGGCCAGGATCCAGTTTTGGGCAGTCCACACTGTCCCCACATGTACCCCCCTGCTTTTTTTTTTTTGCACAGGTTTTATTGATCCCGCGATCTCCTGGTGTTAACCCCCCACCTCCCCCAGGCTGCTACCTTGCAGCACAGTGAATGTGCAATGTGTAGCACCACAGGTGTGTCTGCACATCGCCACGCGTGTCTGGACACAGCCTGAGAGATTGTCTGTATTGTGAAAGCAACCAGCATAGCTATAATGGATTGAGTTATTCTGAAATAATTATTTATGTGGACGCTTCGATTCCAGAATAGAAGCGACTTTATAGCTTTCCTGGTCAACTTCCCAGTATAATGAAACCCTAAGATTTCAACTGTTTTTTTGGTGCAATAAGTGAGGATTTAGAGCTTATGCAGAAATTTTCCACTGTCAAAATCTATACAAACTTGATAAGAGATTTCGTAATAGGACTGATGCATTTCAATCCTATTTTTTCATATGTTTTTCTACAAGGCAGGTTTATGTATTTTCTATATACAATTACAGTTATATGAATCTTTGTATTACATGTTGCATTTTATAAGTTGAAACTTTACTCTTTTCTATTACTCTAAAAGGTTTTCAAGTTGGGAGCACATGATAAGGCTCCCTTGTTGACTCTGGGAATGGCTTTGCAACCAGGCAATGACAAAAATCACTTCTGTCAACCCACTGATGTGGCTGTGGATCCAATCACTGGCACCATTTATGTTTCTGACGGCTACTGCAACAGTCGGATCGTTCAGTTCTCTCCAAATGGAATGTTCATCATGCAGTGGGGTGAAGGTATTGACTAACCCTCCTGGGGCACCTATACACGTGCAGAGAGGCTGCTTCAACACGTTGTAATTATAACGTGTCAGAGCAGACTCAATTAATCAAGTGTGCTGAAGCATGGTAATTACCACACTCCAACAGACTCTCCAGGGTCATGTGTATCAGCCTCCCCGACATGAAAAATGACAGCTGGGGTGCTTTAACTAGCTTGTTGAATGAGCTTTAGTTAAATGCCCCTGCCACCATTTTTCAGTGCGCAGATACTGATACGTGTGACCCTCCAGGCACTTTAATTAGAGCGGCCCCCGCACCCTGCCCAGTGCACATCTATAAATGCCCCTGGGGAACAGACAGAAGTGCTGTAACTGAGAACATTTTGCAGGAAACATTTTGGACCCCCTGAAACAAATAAAAGTTCACTGTTGGTTCCAGTGGGGGAGAAAAGTAGCTGGTACCTGCATGCCTGCAGCCTGTTTTCCCCTAGCAATGGCCCCTGCTCCCTGCAAAGCTGCAAAATTTTCAAAATGGGAGGGGGGGAAAGGGAACTCATTTTAGGGGTTCCCTAGTCAGCACTGGACAGTGGGGTGGATCAGCTGGAGCCCCTCTACTTCAGAGGGGGCTCCAATACACCTGTTCTACCCTCCACCAGGGGCTGAAACCCTCCCCAGATCAAATTCCCTCCATTCCCTTTCCCCCGTCCTGTTTTCAAAACAGCAACAGGATGGCAAGCAGCACAGACAGAAATTACGGAAGGTGCTCTGTTTTGAACCATCTTCATCTGACCTCTCATGCAATGAGGGGTCTGATTTTCACTAGATTGGCCATTTTTGAAGCTGTCTGCAGCTGTGCACTTGTGTTTGGCCACAGCTATAAACTGTTTTCTGTGGCCAGCTTGGGTGAAAATTGTCACTTCTGTCTGCAGCCATGTTGCTTAGCTGAGATTACTGTCATCACAGATTAGGAAATAGAGCATATACAAGACTGATATGATTGTTACTGTTGTGTATTTCTATTGCAAGCATGTTTACAGATCCTGGTAGAGAATTGGGCCCTTATTGTTATCTTTTAAATTTCATTATGTGGCGTTCTAGACACTGACATATAGATATTTTATATTTGTGTTCTTGTAAAAAGTAGAAGGAAAAAAGTATATGTATATTCCAAACAAACTAATAAACATAGTTTTTCAATAAAATATCTATTTTTGTAAACACAAGGTTTTTTCCTTAAATAAAGATTTAAGGTTTTAACTTTAGTCTCATTAATTCCAGGAAAAAATAATTCAATTTCTTATTACATGGACTTCTATTCTTTGTCAGACTTTTTTGAAGAAGCCACTAGTCATATGTATGTGACTGGTTTCCGCCTTGGTATGAGAATTGTCAGGATAACAAATGTAATTGTGGAAAATAACTATTTCTAGCCATATATTTATATCTGTGTTAAAATTTACTGGATATTTTTCTGTTTCAGAGACTTCTTCAGGTACACCCAAATCTGGCCAGTTCCTTATCCCTCATAGCTTAGCACTGATACCAGACTTCGCTCAGCTGTGTGTAGCAGACAGAGAAAATGGAAGAATTCAGTGTTTTAGGTTAGAAACTGGAGAATTCACAAAAGAAATCAAGCACAAATCATTTGGAAGAGAATTATTTGCAGTTTCATACGTTCCAGGTAATGACTTCTCATTTTTCCCAATTTTATATATCTGCTTAATAGCTTGATATAAGGATGCACTTTATTCTTTTATTAAGAAGAAGTATATCACATGACAAGCTAAATATTTGTTCCATTTCAAGACCTGGTTTAATTTGGTGGAATATCTTAGAACTATTGTGTTTTATAAAAAAAAAAAACCAAAACTATCATACCATCCCATTCTTGAGAAAAGAAGAAGAAATTAGTGTTCTTCAATATATTATTTGTCAGCAACAAGGGCAATAACTAGAGCAACCTTTTTGCTCTGCTTAAGTAACTATAAACTATAAAACATTGGTAACTAATTTTTAAATTGTTCATTCCAGCAATTGTTCATTAGGAAGGCAACAGGAAAGAAAAAAAAGTTTCCAAATCAGGGAAATAAATGATAAATTGCTTAATGAACACCTAGAAGATCAGAGAATATAATAGTAGCTGGCAGTTTTTCTGTTTTTAAAAAGTAGGTTCTGAAAAAGAGGGGGAGAGAGAGAGCCATTATCAGGGTGAAGTTCAGAACTGGAACTAGAGTTGAGGAATATTCAAACTGGAGCTGCACTTGAATGTCACTCAAAGAAAATATTTCCCCTTTTGTATGAAGTCATATAGGTATCACACACATTCTGCTGCTTAGAAGTTCTCACCAGAGTAACACACACAAGTAACACATTCTTATGTTTTTTTAACAGCTTATTAAAGTTTTAAAACTGGATATATCTCAGTCTGGGGGAGAGAGTTGTATCTAGAAATAGAAGGAGGAATAAGATGGAAACGGAGAAGATGGTAGTTAGAGGCACATAACTGAGAAGGAAGTAAGACCTTCCTTTTTTAAAATCCGGAGCGACCAGGGAGAAGAATAAAAGCGAGAACACAGAATGGGGAAGCAGAAGAAAGAGAGAATGCGGGGAAGGAACCCCCCATTTACAAAACAGCAGTTCTTCCTGTTTGTAAAGTGTTGCCCAGGAAGAGGCAGTTCTCGTATTCAGAACTGCCAGAGTTCTAGACAAGGGCGGAGGCACCATTTGTTTTTCTTGAACACAGTAGAAAGCAAGGACATCAAATGCATAGCACTCTTTGAAGTGGCCGATCAGCCATTATAAATTTCGGCATCTGTGCAGGGGGTTGGCTAAACGACCTCACACAGGATACCGAATTGTGTCTTATCCTTAATGGTCCAGACAGACACGCCCAGTTGCTGAGGCAGCAGTGTCATGTGTTTTGTGTCTTGGTTTTTATGATAAAATTATGAAGTAGAAGACATGAAAATAAGACTCGTTTTGTTTGCATTGAACTGCTTATAAATGACACCAGTACCACTCACTTTGGACCTGGTTTTGAATTTTCTTTCAACTCATGTAGTCTTTTGATATCTCCTGGCCTGCTCTTCTAATTCAGTGGTGGCCAGCCTTTTTGACAGGCACGCCACAAATTAGCCCTATACCGTCCCCATGTGCCACTCTGACCCCCTTCCTTTGCCTGATTTGCTGCTTTGCTTCCTGTTCCCAACTCTGCCCCTGCCTGATCTCTTGCTGTACTTTGCACATCTTACTCCATCTGCTGCTGTGCTGCCTGTCCCCTCCCTGATCTGTTGTGTGCCAGACAAAGGCTGCCCACGCCACTTGTGACAACCCGTAGTGCAGGTCAGCCACCCCTGCCCTAATTCATTCTGAGCCTGACCGTTTCAGATGCTCCACAAGAGCACTCTTCCATTAGATTACACAGCTCCCACACCTAACCACTTAAATAAATATTTTGGTGTGTCTGGAGCTCGTCTTCTTCCATGGCTGCTTCTGATTCTTTCTCTTTGAGGCACTCATTTCTTGTCTATCTTGTTAAAATTAAGCTCAGTTGTAAATAGAGGAACGTAATTTACCATCTATAAGTTGTTAAAGAATATGAATTGTTTGTGTTTCAGGTGGTCTGCTATTTGCAGTTAATGGAAAGCCATACCCTGGAGACGTAGAACCTGTGCAAGGGTTTGTGATGAACTTTTCCACTGGAGAAATTATTGACACTTTTGTTCCAGTCAGAAAGGTAGGGTATTGCTCTGTAAGCAGCTGAATGTGCTGATATTGAGCTCCTTCACATATCTAAAGTGAATGCTAACAATCATGAGGCTGAGGCTGATTTTTATATTGTATTCTATTGAAATCTTTCATCTTGTTCCTTAATAGTTCCCCTGTCACCACTCACGTAAAGAAACTATATGTGACATTTCCAGGTGGGAGTTATCTGAGGTCCAACAGACTCTGCACATTAGTCTTTTTATGTTGCCATGAAAATGAGGCCTTTGGGAAAATAGGAAATGTCTAATTCTTTAGTTTAAGACAGAGGTGGTCAACCTACAGCCTGGGTGCTACAAGTGGCATGGGCAGCTTCTCTGTGTGACACATAGTAGACTGGAAAGGGGGCACATAGCACAGTGGCAGATAGGGCAGGGAGCAGAAAGTAGAGCACTAGTTTGGTCAGGGAGCACAGGGCAGGTAGCAGAAGGCTGCACAGCAGGTCGGGTAAGAGAAAGGAATCAGAGTGGTGCTCTGGGAAGTTGCAGAGCTAATTATGGCACACCTGCAAAAAAGGTTAGTACTCACTGGTTTAAAAGAAGGACTAAGGTTCTGATTTTTATATCACCATGGTATACTGAAGCATAAAAATAGTGCTTCTACTTAGGAGTATAATGTGCCTTCTTAGCAAACACTAAACTGTGCTTACTCAATATTGTTCAAATTCCATAATACAAATTAAAATGAATTTCAACTATGAAGTTTTCTTGGCTCGTACTAAATCAAAGAAAGAACATCAGAAGTCCCCCATACTGTGTATCCCATATCCTGTTTGATGAAAGCCTATTTTAAGCTGCACCAGACAAAGATGTTTTCTTTCTGGGCGTTTTTAAATTGCTGTGTCCACATTCAAAACTCTATAAATAAAAATAAATACATGGCTTGAAACCAACATTCAGAGTTTTATATAAGGATGTCACACAATAATTACTACAACATTAGCTCTTTAAAGGGTTTTTTTCTTACTAATAATCTCAGCTAGAGAAAGACTGTGTACAATTGTGGAGGCGTTTTTATTTTTTGAGTGGACGTACATAATCATGGTAGCGTTTTCAGCCAATATTCATAATCACACTGGCAAATTTTGCATGCTCCCATAGAGCAGTTGCTGAAAATTTGACTCTTGAGTCTGCACAATAAAGCATCTCCCTAGCTTTCATAAATATTCTGCAGTGAAATAAAAAAGATGCGGTTCTTAGATGTAAGGATATATTTTCAGGAGTAGGTAGACTAGTTTATGATCCAACCCCAAATTTCTTCATAAAAAATACTATAAAGCATTCTTAGAAATGAATGCATGTAAGCAAAGAATCTATCAGCATCCTGTTCCCTGAAGTAGGACAAACAATCTAAAAGAATTGGAGTAGTAGAGGAAAATTTCATATTTTTGAATGCTTTCAGAAAACAGTTGCAGTTATACTTGCAGTTATATTTAGAAGTATAGAAAGATGCTGAGCAGACTGGAAAGCAAGCTGTATGATGACCCTTTTTGTTGGTAGTAGGTATGTTTAGTTTGAAGAAAAGTTGATTAAGGGGAAGCATGATAGCAATTTTTTCAAATATTTCAAAGGCTGCCATTGAAATGATGATTCTGCTCTGCCTTAGAACATGGCACAGTAGAATTTAAATTGCAACAAACTAGATTTAGATCAAATCTCAAGAAAAAAAACTTCTGAAATGTTACAAGAGTAAGACAGTGGAATACGTTGCCTTGAGAAGCTGTGAAATCTTCACTGGAGGTTCAAGAAAAAGCTAGAGTTTCCTCTATGTAGGATGCTTTAGGAACAGAAAATCTGGTATCTGTGAATTAGTAGATCCTCAAGGTCCATTCCAGTTCTATGATACTTTCTTTCCTTCTGCATCATTCTCTGTTCCATTCAGGATGTTGAGAATAACTTCTGCAGCAGGTGATTTTCTCTCACTTTGTTTTTTCTCGGTGCATAGCAGACCATTGTTGTAATCCTGTGTTTGAAAATGTATTGCTCATGTCTGAAAAAGTAAATAAGCTTGAAGGACTACCTGGGCCCAGTTCACTGTTTCATTTGGGCCTCCTGTCTGCTTCATAAACAACAAAGCTTTAAGAAGGCAACTTATGCTTTGTTTCTAAGAAAGAAGCTGCTCCTACATAGAGTTTAGATTTTGTAATTCTGACTCCAGTTGGAAAGAGAAGGATCCCCAAGTTAGTCTGTGGGATAAATGGTGTGCCTTATCCAGTGGGAAGTTAATTGTTCTAGACATAGAAATTAATTTGAAAAATGCCTGGAAAAAGAGCCAAATGCAAGAACAACATCTGTTTGTGGTGTCTTGCACCATTTTCAGTGGTGTCCATAGCTCCTTGGTACAAGACTTCCGAAACTCTCCTAGCTCTTAAGAGGTGTTAATGCTAGAGGGCTGCAACACTGGGGGTGGAAACAGAGCACAAAACAGGTTACCTACTGGGAACTTTTTCAAACCGTTATCTTCAAAGGGGGGAAAAATATGTAACTTTCCATTTTCCTTTAAGTAAACTAATCTTAAATCGTACCAGACATAGGTATTACTCCAGAGTTTACTCAGCACACAGCAGTTTATTGCTTCTTGTGGAAGTCCCTTGTTTAACTACGTTATAGGCACAAAGAACAGAGTTCAGGCCAAGAAATTAATTTAAAGTGTAAAGACAAATAGAAGAGGAGACTGATCCATGAAGATTAAAGGCCAAATGACCACATTTATTATTATTTTTCCACTATTTCTTCAAACTTCTTTCTTCCCCCAGGTTTTACTAAGCAGAGAATATAATTTGTGCCATATACGACCTGTTGCTTCTGCGTCTCTAACCAAGCTGCTAAACTGATTTAAATTTATACCTTAGATACTTGGACTTTTACTTCTGCTTTATGCTTCTACCAATGCTTTTCCTGCAGAAAATCTGCTATATCAAAATCCTACTCCAGTTACAGGGCTTTCCAACTTCTGAGTAACTAGTGGTTGCATACTGCATGGGTTGTAGGCTTTTTCCCCACTCTCCCTGGTCACTGTAAGCACCCCTACTGTCCCGTACTGCAGGGCACTTTATCATGCTGCAGTGTTACATGTCCCCAGGTCACAGGCTCCATTGGCCCTATGGCCTCACTGTTCAGAGTAGAAAGCAGAAGCTGGAGAAGGGAATGGGAGCCTAGAGAGCCCAGCAGCAGCGGGATAGCAATGAGGGTACCTTGACCAGGAGTCAGTGAGCTGTGAGTCAACCCCTTGTTAGACACCAGTTGGACAGCACAGCTCTAGTAAAGTATTTAATTCCAGGAAACTTTATGTCAGGACTCTGTCAGCATGGGCATATAGGACCTTTTTCAATCTATTGCAAGTATTAATGTGTAATTAAGGTTGCTCGTGCCAACTGATTATCTATAAGCATCTAAAATATTATTTGCCAAATAATTAAATGAATAATAGGGATGTTTTATATGGTAGACAAAATTACTCTCATTATTCTTATTTTCAAATACATGGTGAACACTTTTATGGTTCCTTTTCCCCCCATCATTGGGGGATTGAGGGCTCTTTTTTAGGGGTTTTTAGGAAAGCTGGTGTTTTCAGTGGTGCTAAGAAGTCATATTGATACAGTATGTGTATGGTACATCAAAAAACATGTGCCAACGAATGGTTGATTGCTAATTCAGTAAGTCATGCAGTAGGAAAAGGTAGGTTAAGGTTATCTATACATATTGTGGATTGCTTCATTGCACATTGCGTATGTGGTAGAGAGGCATCTGTTTACCCCTTTTCCACCCCTCCCCTCTGTGCATCTGTTGTAAATTTCTGGAAACCAGTTGACTATTCGTTTAGCTATGCAGAGCTGTAATAGCCACGTTTAGTTCCTTAAACTTTCACTTTAGAATACCGACGAAAATGGACTCTGCCCCAAAATATAAATAATAAATCCTCTGTACATTGTATCATATATAATTTAAGCATTCTCTAAGCGATGACAATAACTACGATCCCTGGAGGAATGACTTCAAAAAGGTTCAGCTCCTACCCCTTCTCTTTTGTTAACTCCTGGCAACTGGGTCAGTTGCAGCTTGCATTATGTGAGGACTGAGTCTCAAATTAATTTTCCTTTGTGATCTAACTGCATTTTCTTGTATAGTCATTCAGTTGTGATTTGTGGTTGTTTATATTGACAGAATTTTGAGATGCCACATGATATTGTTGCTTCAGAAGATAAAACAGTATATGTTGGAGATGCTCATGCCAGAACAGTATGGAAGTTCGTATCTTCAGAAAGTATGTTTCTTTTTTTTATTTGCTCTCTTAAAGACCCTTTCCATAACCATATTCTCAGTGAACGTATCCTCTGGCTGTTTTGTTCAGGTTCCACTTTCACATCCTACTGCTTTTGTGTAAGCAACATGCAGCAAAAAATTGGTTGGTCTTTGTGTCAGCCAAACTGACTGTTGTTGACATGCCAATGGTTTTGTCTGGCTAGCTAAATCTTTGCGTTCTCAGTTGTTCTTACAAAACTACTGATCTATATTGCTTGTGTACATTTAGCTGAATATATAAGTATACTTCAGTGTGTTGTTTGCTGAAAGTCCTGTTTCCTTAGAAGCTGTTACATGGAAACTATCTGTGGCTGAAATAAAGCAATAATCCAAAATAAAGTCCCTTTTATCGATCAGTTTACCAGATCAATTAATTTACTGCTGTATTTCTATTAACTAGGAAAACTTCCCAGTTCACTCTATTCCTCTAACCCCCAAACTAAGCAGCTTGTTTTTAAGGTGATGTATCTAAGATGTCATAGATTTCATAGACATTAGGGCTGGAAGGGACCTCAGACGATCATCGAGTCCAGCCCCCTGCCCCAGGGGCAGGAAGACAGATAGGGTCAAAGGATCCCAGCAAGATAAATGTCCAAACATTTCTTAAAAGAATCCAAAGTAGGTGCTTGAACCACCTCTGGAGAGAGTGTATTCCGGGCCTTGGGGGCTTGAATATTCAAGACATTCAACTTAGTGAGCTTCAGGGGGAAAAAAATAGATATTTTATAGAAACAACAATATGATCTACAATATGCCTTACGCAGGATATTAAATGCATGAAGAATATGAAACCTCATGCTTCAGGGCATTAGCCAACTGCTGTCTGCCATTAAAATAAACTTGTTATCTAAGCAAGTTATTCCATAGTTGGCTGTTTGTTTTTCATGCACCTTCCTTTGATCATCTGCTACAAGCAGAGCAGGTACCAGACCAGGTTCACCCCTGTTCTGATTGGATACTGTTGTTCCAATATTCTGAACAGGACATGCCTCTACACTTTCATTCATAAGAAAATGACAAAGTGAAGGTTTATGAAAACTCACCACTAAATAGTTCACTCACAGTTTTGCTGTTTTATGAAGTGAGGACTCTGATGTGTATTTTAATATCAAATGTTAACTATAAAAAGACAGTAGCTAGCTAGTTCTGAGCGTACTCAAGACAGTTTTGCTGAACTGGCCTTCCCTTACCAGTCTAAGGTCACAGGCTAGTGCATTAACTATTGACTCTGTTCTTTTTTTCTAAAGAATACTAAAAAAGTCAAAACCATTTCCCCCTCCCCCCCAGAATAGGCCTTTTAGATAGGATGACACATCTACTGTTTAGTGACTTGCCTTTGCATTGTATAGTATCTTTTCATTCAAGAAGTTTACAAAGTGCATTTCAAACTATGTATAGGAATTCCTTTACCCACTATTGATTTACAGCTATGCAGTGGCAGACCAACAGCGGGGGCGGGGGGGCAGGAGGGGGCCATAGCCCCCAGGCACCAGCTGGGCCCTTCAGAGTTGTTATCGAGCAATGTAACTTTAAGTATTGCTACAGGAAGGCCTGGGGGGGCAGGGGCTGCAAATGCAGGCACTGGCCCCCGGGTGCCAGAGACCCATGGTATGTGACTGTAGCTATGTCTAAGGTAGAAGGTTTATTTTGTACAACAGGCTGCACTGCAGTTCAGGACAGGATGTGAAATATGTCCCTACTTGAAAATGCAGATGTCGCTTGGTGAGAGAAAATATAATTGCCCATCTTGGAATTTGGGAAGGATGCTAGCTTTAGTACTGCTGCTGTCAGGAAAAGTGGGCCTTGGCTAATCTATTACATATGGAAAAAAATTTTTAAAAGTCCTCACTGCTAGGAATACAATGTCCTGTGCAGGAGGAGGGACAAAGTTTGAGTGTTAACTCAAAGCAGAATTAACATGATGGATGATAGCATATCTACTGTATCCTCAGTACTACTTCTCCAGTGCCTAAAGTTTTCTTCCTTGACAGTCTCCAATTTTGTTGTTACTAGGTAATTCCAGCAATACTAAATGTCAGGAATTTGTATTGGGACCTCAAAAACAACTTTGTAGTGTAGGATTTGGTTGTCATTGCAAACTGAGAGTCACGCTCATGGTTTCATAGGGTTCTGATCAGGGGATTGTTCTGAAACAGTCTTGGTGAAGCTCAAATGCAAATGTGATTATTTACTTTAGGATTGTAAAGTAAAGCTAACAAGAAAATGTCATCAAAGGCTTTCTAAAATGTCAGTTGGTCTGAAGAGCAATTTTGTGTTACAGAAATGGAACATCGATCAGTTAAAAAGGCTGGTATCGAGGTTCAGGAAATAAAAGGTTAGTCTGATTCCTTATGGGAATGGGCAAAACAAAAGTTTTCATCTAGACAATTTTTTTTTTGCCTTGCAAATGTGCTTGCCAAAAATATCAAAGGAAAAATATTAATTAGTCTCCGTTTGGTTGTCATTTCCTACAGCGCAGAGTTACAATGAGCTGGCAGGGGGAAGGGATAGAAGGTGGCCTGTGCTCAGCTTTATCTGGTAGACTCAGCTCCATGAGAGAGGAAACACTTCAGTTTCAGTGACAAGTGTGTCCTGGAGATTGAAATGAAGGTTCACCCAGGGGACTATTCTATATGACCCTCTGGTAGCCACAGATTAGTATCTGTGTCCATTCCATTAGATGCAGAAATAATTATGGTATACAGGAGTCCTAGTTACCTAGTGAAAAAGTTAGACATTCAAAATGGCTGTTGTTTTCATTTTCTTATTTTGTAGGAGTCATATTGGCAGTCTGGGTATACTGTAAGGTATAAAAAACTCAATTTGATCAAAGTTGTTCTCCCAGATTTACTTTTTCCTTTTCCAAAAGATCAGTGAAAATAAGGATAAAGTGAGAGAAAAGAATCAGAAGAATATAGGGATTTTAATATAGACAGATAAGGAGAAGTGTATAGCACAAGGTTGAAAGAGGTAGCATAATTTAACATAGATGAAAAGGACTTATTTTAAAACATTATAATACTCTATTCTACAAGTCTCTTATACAAAAGAGGAAATGATATTTCCCTTGCAGAAAAAAGCACATGGTTATTGAGTGATCCTAGTGGATTGTAGCTACAGTGTTCTTATTTATTTTTGTTCAGTTGAATTCAGAGCAACTGCCCTTGGCTTCAGGCACGTAGACATATATGGAAGTAAGCCAAAAGATCAAAAAACTTAAATATAATCTTAAAATAAAGTATGCTGCTCATATGAGATATTCCAGTTCTTGCTACCAAAATCACCACAATGTCAAACAGTTTTTCCCAAAGCTTTCAAGGGGAGAAAAAGGGACTTAATAGCATTTGCGCATAACTACTTTGGGCTCTTGCAGACCATTCTGGGAAACACATTATGGTGCAGAGAATCCTTTAGGAAAACTCCTTTCTGTTTATCATCACTGTTCATGAAACAAGACTGTCTAGATTAGAATAAGACAACAGCATCTTATGGATACTAAAGGAGTCTTCAAAATAATTACCTGCTAAAGTATTTAGGACCACATATGTAAAAACAGACAATATAAGCTCCACCTGAAAGTGAATAGTATCCAGTGTTGTGATGCACTTTGTGTCATTCTTTGCATAATAAATGAACAGATGTGTTTTGCATTAGCTACTTGCTCCTGTTAGAGGTATCAGAGTGGAGAATACAGCTGCTATTACATTAGGCAAGTGAAGACAATGTATTGCTACCAGCATCAGAAGGATTATGCTAGATGGCAGATGGAAGACAGTGCTGTTGGCCATAACTACTGTCTGAGTAACCAAAGAACTAACAAAATCCCATAGTTCTTTGCTGTCATGTCACACTTAAAACATGAAGGCCCAGTGGTTAAAGAAACGTGAAGAAAACATTCTACAAAACACATTGTAATGTCATAAATGTGCATAGAATATTGCAGTGTGTGTATATGTTCATACTATGACATGCTATTAAATTTGATATAGTTTCAGGTGTGATTTTAGCAGAGCTGTTTTTCACAAAATATTGAAAACCTCACGGGCTGCTGTAATTTGTTTTGAAGTTAAAAGTTTTTACTAATTTAAAACATGGCATACAAATATTCTTGCAAAACTTTGAGCATGAACAAGATGCAAGTTCATTAGGACCCTTTGCGAAATAGATGCAGTCCTAGAATCTTAGGATAAAAGCACCTAAGTGGCTAGGAAGCTTATAGTCTCTTGTTTTTTACTGGGACTTAAGCACCTTTGAAAGTGAATGCTGTAGGGCACCGTACGGATTTTACAGGAAAGAAGCAACTAAAAAAACAGTAAGCTTTTTCAGGGTGTCACTGTTGTCTGCGCAGGGCATACAGTGTGAATTAAAAACAAGCAGGAATCTTATCAGGGGATAAGGCACAACGCCACGTTTATTGGAACATAAAACAAAACATGCAACATGAAAAGAATAAAGAACAGTAAGGTTATCTGCTTCACTCATTCCCATACAGACTTACTCATTCATTCATTCATTCATACAAAAGAACCAAGCGCGCACACAGAGAGGCATACAGTCCTGCAAAGGTTAAGGTGTTACCAAGTTCTAAAGTCACTCGGGTCAGTCTGGTGGCTGGCCGGACTGACCACAAGGGATGGAGTCAGGTCTTGTTAGACATGTCCAAAACTCCTTCTTGCAGGTGGGAAGAGCCAAAGCCTTGTCTTTGTGTTCATTCTGTATAGTGATAGCTGTCCATATACGCGTATGGATTCCACTGAGTCAGACGCAAAGGCCATCCTCCTTGTCCTGTTGTCAGGCTGGGATTGGTAGGACATGATCTTCTGGCTTTGCAGTCTGCAATCTTCAGGGAGGTTATTGCTTGCAGTCTTCAGCCATCAGGGTAAAGGCATGATTTAGTATTTGGTAATCCTTAACTGCTGACTCGACATCGCTGCAACCTTTAACCATTAAACCACAGAAGGCTATTTTCACCTGCTGCAAGAGGACTGTCTTCCTTCACATTGTCACATACATACATCATTCATTCTTTCTTTACCTCTTTTTAAACATACCACAGACCTTACATAAGCATTTTCCTTATATCAAATTTAAGTTCTGAAATCATGAGACCAATAAGTCAACTGTATCTAAAATTATAAGACCACTAGGTCAAATATATTTATGCTAATAGGACTAGGAAATTTAAAATAGATGGTTAATTCCAGAACAATAATGACTGATTAAAGTATTATAAAAAGTAAATCATAACAAGATTAACTTCATCTTAATAGCTAAATATTTCATTATATAAAAATAACAATATAAGCAATCAAAGCAATTATAGTTACTGCAAGACTACATTACGAAATTCAGAATTTTAAGAGAATTGAGTCTATTAGTTAAACTTAAGCAGAAATGAGTTTCAGAAAATATTTTTTTTACTGTGTGTATAGTTTCACTCTGTTCCCTGTAACAGACACTTCTACCAACTCTCCTCTCATCTTGTTCTTGTGGGCTTTTTCTTTGTGTGTTTACTGGACTCTAACTGATGGCATGTAGCATGACTTACCACGTGTAGACTTCACTGTCCATGTTTCTTGGCCAAACTGGAGCATGAAGAGAGAAAGGAATTATCAATTCTATAAAATTTTTAATCCCCTATCCTTGAAGTTCTGTTTTGTCTTCTACAGGGATATCTCTCTGAAAAATTACATAAATACCAATCCAAATGAAAACAAAATGTATTAGGAATAAGAAAAGAATGGAACTAATAAAATATATTTTTCAAGTATCATGATTACTTTGGTGCTAAGCTAGAAACTAGAAATCAGTCCACTGGTCAAAATGGCTGCTGCACTGCCTTCCCCAAACCCAACACTCTGGGTACCTATACACATGCATTGAGGCTGCTCTGACACACCGGAGCAGACTTGATTAATTGAGTCCACTGGAGCATGGCAATTAGCACATTCCAGCAGACTCCAGCGTCACATGCATCAGCGTCCCTGCACTGAAAAATGGCAGCAGGGGCACTTTTTAACTAAAGCTTGTTCGGTGACCTTTAATTAAAGCACCCCATTTTTCAGCACAGGGACTCTGATACAAATGATGCTCCAGGCACTTCTATTAGGGTCCCCCCTACCCCCGCATCGCAGAGCATATGTATAAATGCCCTCTAAATCCAAGTGAGCATGCCATAGACAGTTGGCTGTGAACTTGACAAGGGATACCTGCTTAGAAATAAAATCGCAATGGCTGCAGACATTTTTTTGTGTGTTTGGAGGCGTGGCCCATGCAAAATAAAGGCCTGTCTTTATTCTGTTACCTTGAGGTATAATAAAATATTATCCTGACTTCTGCCATGTGTTTGCAGGCATATCTATCTCTATCTCAAGTTCTTTAAATCAAGCTAGCTATCTTGTCACAAGGTGCTGGTTGAATTTTGAGTGTTTCTGATACTAGTGCTGCCAGTTAATCCTGTGGGGACTCCTGATAATCCAGTCACCTGATTATTGTTTAGCCTCTTGCGGTAGGCTAAATCAAGAGGAGTTGGTTCAAGCGTAGAAGACTTAACCAAACATTGAAGTGAAAATAAATCCCAATAGGTTCTAGTTGCTCACTTCAGAGTGGAATGGAGTATTTCATGCTAGGACCTTGTAGTCCTTGGCTGCCTGATTTCCACATTAAACGTGAAGAGATAGCATAGTAATTTTAAAGTACTGTGTATGTGTAGTGCTTTACTGGAGTTAATCCAGAACATTACTAGTTTTATAAACTTTATAACTAAAATCCCTTGTTTTTGAAACGGTATTGTTATGCGTAGGATTTTGGGACATGCCCTTTCTTGGTAACTATAATCTACCAGTAACTTTACCTGTCTCCTTTTGTTTCATCTTTTTCTGTGGTTGTACAAGAAAATGGAAATGAGCATATGGAATCACTTCATGTGGTGATTATACCAATGCAAAACACAGCACATGCAGTACAATTAAAGAGTATCTTAAAAGGTGTGAGCACCCCCTGACCAGACTAAAACAAAATCCATCCATATTCAGAGTTTTTTTTTTTTCAAATTCATCACATTACTTGGAGAGGAGCAATAACAAGAAAAGAAAGGTTGTAACTGAGAAACTACTGTTCTAAGAGTGGAATTCTGTAGGATTCTACCTGTATTCAAATACTAGAATTATTTAGGAGAAAATCTCCCTCGGTGGTTGTCCTTTCTCCATTCTCTGTCCCCCAAGCATTATGGAAATGGAGAGAGGATTCCTCTTGTACCATCAGCCCTCTGCATGGCTCCTTACATGGCACAAGCAAAAATAAGAACTGTTGTGCGAGTATCAGCTTATACTTTTAAGGTTGCTTGTTACTGGAAACTTCAGGTGCAGTAGCATACTGTATTCAGCAATAACTTTATCTATGTGACTTGAAATGTTTAGATAACAAATGATGATTCTTTTCTTTTCTTAAAGAAGCAGAGACAATTGTAGAAGCCAGATTGAAAAACAACCCTGTATCATCAGATGCTCTGAAGAAGCAGGAAAAACAACATTTGGTCCAACAGGCTAACACTGGAGTTTCCTTTGTTCTCATTACAACTCTTCTAATTATTCCTATTGTTGTTTTGTTGGCAATAGCGGTATTTATTCGGTGGAGGAAGACAATGGTGTATGGAGGTAACTATGCATCATTTTTAAATTCCAGATCAGGATTTTCATATTCAAATAAATCATTAAAGAACAAGGAACAAAAGTATGCAGAGAGGCTACATTTAACCACCTGTACAGATATCAAGATACTGCATCCAATCTAATTCTGGCATGCACAAGTGAATGCGTCTTTAACTGCTTTTATTTTATCTATCCAACCCATAAATCATCCTTGTAATTGCAGTCTGAATAAAACCTTGGTTCTGAAAGCCCAGACATATAATTCTACCATTTTATTATTTTGTTTTAGTCGCATCCTTTATTTTAAAATTCAATGCAGAGCTTGCTTTTCACTGTGGGAGTTTTTTAGAATCTTTTGTTCTTCAGAATAAGTGTTATTTTTTAAGTAAGCGACAGATAAAGGTATATGCAAAATGCAAGCAGTTAAATGGCTGAGGGCATATAAATTCCTGTTCATCTTGAGTATATTTTGTATCAAGCATTATGTGCCATCCTCCCTTGGGAAACCAGCTGTGACATCTTTAATGAGGAGTTATAACACTAACAATGTGAAGCTTTCCCTCAGTTCATATTGTGTTTGTCTATCGTAATATGGTCTTTCTTTGAAACTATTACAATGCTGTGCCAGTTAAATGTTCTTTCCATAGGTTATTTGTATGATATATCCCTTTGCCAAGTTTTCATTAAAAGTACATGGAATAAAATGTACAGGGACCATGCAACTCAAAGTTCCTCCAGTATTATAAGCTAAGAAAGTAATGTGAAATAATAGAATATAGTTTGAGCAATCTAATAATTCTTTGCAATTGACCTATGAATTTTGTGTGAAGAGTAGAAAGTGTAGCTGTCATCATGGCCCTTTTATATGCTGAGACCTGGGAGATGCAAGGGGCTTTTTTGTGGTTTGATAAAACAATCCCTAGAAGGCCAAGGCATCATAGAAAGCACCAGAGGCATAACAGTGCAGCTGGGTGCCTGGAGCAGCTACAAGATGAAGGGTCAGCAGCAACTTCTGGCTGCCATCATGCTTCCAAATGATCGTTGATTCCAAAGCAGCAGTGGGGTTTTTCTGTGGAACACCCCTCCTATAAGCGAACACCCATGGCAGCTGCCCCAGTCACCTCACTCTAGAGTTATGCTGCTGGAAAATGATATAAGACCTCTTGGATCATTCCAGCAATCTCCCTGCATCTACTGCCTGTTAATCCTTCTAGTGCCTTTTTTAGAAAACTAATTTTTGGAAACACATGGAGAAAACTGAACTTTTTAATTTTTGCCACTGGAAAAAGAAAGCAACTTGGTTCTATGCTGTTGAATTGAGTTCAAACTGAGTTCTAAGTTTTATGCTGATTTGAGAACACACACACACACACACACACACACACACACCCACACACACAATATACGTGTGTGTGTGTGTGTGTGTGTGTGTGTGTGAGAGAGAGAGAGAGAGAGATACAATGGAGAGTTTAGCCCTAGGATTGCTTCTTTTTTTTCAGGTTTGGGATTGCAAAGTCAAGTCTTTTTTTTTTGGTAGCTCAGGAAATTTTTAGATAAGGGAGGTATTTACTAGGCCTGTGCAAAGCAGCTAGTATTCGCTTTGGATTCAGATTCAGCCAGTTCGGGAGACAGTGATTGTATTTGGTGATTCGGATCACTGTCCCGAATCAATTTGGCCAAATCTGATTCAAAGATTCAGCTGCCACCAATTGGACAAATCTCCAAATCAGACAGGCCCCATCCCCTGCCACCCTTCCAGCCCCATCAATGACTGCCCCGCCCGACCCCAGTGTCCCAGCTCTTTAAAAAAAAAAAAAAGCCCTGCACTCACTGGCTGCTCCTGGGGGTGGAGAAGCAACCCCTGCTGACCCCCACTGCCCTGTGCTGCATGGGGGGCTCTGCCATGAGCCCCCAGAAACCCTGACAGCCGCTGCAGTAGCTGGTGAGTGCTGGGCTTTTTTTTTAAAGAACCAGGAGCTGGGGCCAGGCGGGGCAGCCATTGACATGGCTGGGAGAGCAGGCGGGGGATGGAAGCTTGTAGCAGAGTCCCCCACACAGCACAGGGTAGTGGGGGGCAGCAGAGATCACCTCCCCTGCCTGGCAGAAGCCAGTGAATGCAGGGCTTTTTTTTAAAGAGCTGGGGCTGGGCGGGGCG